AACCATTAACTAATATTTTTAATTTATCTCTTCAAACAGGTGTAGTGTCTGATATGTGGAAGATGGCTAATGTAATTCCTATTTTTAAAACAGGGGACAAGTCGTTACCGTCAAATTACCGCCCAATAAGCCTGACCTCAATGGTAGGCAAATTACTAGTCAATTATAGCTGAGATCATAAGAAGCCATCTCGATAAGCATAGCTTGATTAATGATACTCAGCATGGATTCACAAGAGGCCGGTCTTGTCTAAGTAATTTATTAACTTTCTTCAGTAAAGCTTTTGAGGCTGTTGACCACGATAAAGAATTTGATATCATTTACTTAGATTTTAGTAAGGCATTTGATAGAGTTCTGCACCAAAGACTGTTAAAGAAAGTAGCAGCTCATGGCATTGGGGGAAGGGTGCTCTCGTGGATCGAATCATGGCTCACAGACAGGAAGCAGAGAGTGTCCATAAGTGGGGTTAAATCCGAGTGGGGTTCAGTAACAAGTGGCGTTCCACAGGGATCAGTCTTGGGCCCATTGTTGTTTATAATATATATCAATGATCTTGATGAAGGAATTACTAGCGATACGAGCAAATTCGCCGATGACACAAAGATAGGTAGGATAATTGATTCAAACGTAGATGTTAGGGAACTTCAGGAGGATTTAGACAAACTCTATTCTTGGTCAGAAAAGTGGCAGATGCAGTTCAATGTAGATAAATGCAAGGTTCTGAAGCTCGGGAGTGTCCATAACCCTAGCACTTATAAGTTAAATAATGTAGAACTTAGCCATACAGATTGCGAAAAGGACTTGGGGGTTATGGTAAGCAGCAACCTTAAACCAAGACAGCAATGCCTGAGTGTACGTAATAAGGCAAATAGATTACTGGGATTTATATCAAGAAGTGTAAGCAACAGAAGTCCAGAGGTCATACTTCAGCTTTATACATCATTAGTAAGGCCTCGCCTAGATTATGCAGCTCAATTCTGGTCTCCATATTACAGAATGGATATAAATTCGTTAGAAAACATTCAGCGAAGTGTGACTAAATTAATACATAGCATTAGAAATCTTCCTTATGAAGAAAGATTGAAGACTCTTAAGTTACATTCACTTGTTAGACGAAGAATGAGGGGGGACCTGATTGAAGTGTATAAGTGGAAGATAGGTATTAATAAAGGGGATATTAACAAGGTCTTGAGGATCTCTCTCCAAGAGAGAACCCGCAGTAATGGATTTAAATTAGATAAGTTTAGATTTAGAAAGGACATAGGAAAGTATTGGTTTGGAAATAGGGTAGTTGATGAGTGGAACAGTCTGCCTAGTTGGGTTATTGAGGCTAGGACTTTGGGTAGTTTCAAATTTAGGTTGGATAAGTACATGAGTGGGAAGGGTTGGATTTGAGTGGGACTTTCATACCAGAGCTTATTTCTTGGGTAGCATTGAAAATTGGGTTGGGCAAATGTTTTGTTAGTGGGATAAATTGTAAAGGACCTGCCTAGTATGGGCCAACAGGCCTGCTGCAGTGTTCCTCCTTTCTTATGTTATGTTAAATTAATAATTTTACAAACTTGGATGATGAATTTATAAAAGGTAATTACATACTCTTAATTATATATATGTGCTGTATATGTATGTATGTAATATTTGTTCAGAATGTATGTATTAGATTAGTTAATTCAAGAAATATAATATACAGTAGGATCCCCATATCCATGAGGGATATGTTCCAAGGACCTGCCACAGATGGTAGCAAACCCTTTATGTAAGTCCTATACATACCTGTTATAAAGTTTGATTGATAAATTACACACAATAAGTGGAGAATTATCACTTCAAGCACTTCACAGCCTCTCTTAGGCTTTGAAGAATTGCCAGCGTCTCTCCTTTTCCACTTTGGGGCCATTATTATGCAAAATTTAGAGGCATTTTTGGGTTACAGTAAACCATGAATAACAACCAGTGGATACAGTGGGTTCTCCTGTAATATTTTATTTCTACAAGTACATGGTACAAGGTATACAGGCCTAGCTGACATAAACCATACCACGGGCGGGATTGAACCCGCGGTCAGTCTCAAAACTCCAGACCGTCGCGTTAGCCACTGGACCAGCTAGTCACAATAAGATTCGTCCAACTAGGTATATTTCTACACCTTAGGAAGGTCCAGTGGCTAATGCGACGGTCTGGAGTTTTGAGACTCTGACCGCGGGTTCAATCCCGCCTGCGGTATGGTTTGTTTACAATCGTGTCATTACGATTTCGTGAGTCTAGCTTACATCAGTGACTACTATACAGAAAGCCACTTGCTATGCAGAGCATTTCGGGCAAATTAGGTCAATTTTGTCCCTGTCAACTAACACCCAGGTACCCATTTTACTGATGGGTGAACAAGGACTGCAGGTGTCTTATGGAAACACGTCCTAATGTTTTCCAGCTGTACCAGGAGATTTATTATTCTATCTTGAAGAATAAGTCACTTTACTGTGGTTTGAACAACTTGCAAATAATTTGCACTTCAGAGAAAATGTCATGTATAGTTTCCTCTTGAAAGTGTGGGTTATTTGTGAATTGTTTTGTCTTTTTTTAGTTAAAGTATTTCAGATGTAGTATTGTTTATTCTTTATTTTATATGCAAACATAACTAATGCTTGTCCAGTGCAGACATTGCACAGATTTATAGTGTGAATCTGAGTAAAGTGGCACTTGCCATAATACATGTAGATAAGTTTTTTATTAACTCCTCTTAAAAACTGAAGCCCTATATTATCATAGGCTCAGCACAGGTATCCTCCTCTCCTCTCCTCCCAACCAAGAATATCTTGTATCTACTCATTTTCATATATGCTCAGTAATGTGAAACATGTGGTTGTAATTCATTTCTGTAACCATCATCTAACAATGTTCCTTATGCTGATTTTGGGTTCTTTATACATGTACGGGAGTGTGTGTGACTCATTACCTGAACAAATCCATGTGGGTTATAAAGTGAAGCATGTAATTATAAGGGTCAAGTTACCAATCAAATCATATAAAATCATATCAAATCAAATCATATAAAGGGAAGGGGGACAAAAGAGATTTTAAAAATTATAGAGGAATAAGTTTACTGAGTATACCAGGAAAAGTGTACGGTAGGGTTATAATTGAAAGAATTAGAGGTAAGACAGAATGTAGGATTGTGGAAGAGCAAGGTGGTTTCAGAGTGGGTAGGGGATATGTAGATCAAGTGTTTACATTGAAGCATATATGTGAACAGTATTTAGATAAAGGTAGGGAAGTTTTTATTGCATTTATGGATTTAGAAAAGGCATATGATAGAGTGGATAGGGGAGCAATGTGGCAGATGTTGCAAGTATATGGAATAGGTGGTAAGTTACTAAATGCTGTAAAGAGTTTTTATGAGGATAGTGAGGCTCAGGTTAGGGTGTGAAGAAGAGAGGGAGACTACTTCCCAGTAAAAGTAGGTCTTAGACAGGGATGTGTAATGTCACCAAGGTTGTTTAATATATTTATAGATGGGGTTGAAAAAGGGAAGTAAATGCTGGGGTGTTCGGGAGAGGGGTGGGATTAAATTATGGGAAATCAAATACAAAATGGGAATTGCCACAGTTGCTTTTTGCTGATGATTCTGTGCTTATGGGAGATTCTAAAGAAAAATTGCAAAGGTTAGTGGATGAGTTTGGGAGTGTGTGAAAGGTAGAAAGTTGAAAGTGAACATAGAAAAGAGTAAGGTGATGAGGGTATCAAATGATTTAGATAAAGAAAAATTGGATATCAAATTGGGGAGGAGGAGTATGGAAGAAGTGAATGTTTTCAGATACTTGGGAGTTGACGTGTCGGCGGATGGATTTATGAAGGATGAGGTTAATCATAGAATTGACGAGGGAAAAAAGGTGAGTGGTGCATTGAGGTATATGTGGAGACAAAAAAAACATTATCTCTAGAGGCAAAGAAGGGAATGTATGAAAGTATAGTAATACCAGCACTCTTATATGGGTGTGAAGCTTGGGTTGTGAATGCAGCAGCGAGGAGGCGGTTGGAGGCAGTGGAGATGTCCTGTCTAAGGGCAATGTGTGGTGTAAATATGCAGAAAATTCGGAGTGTGGAAATTAGAAGGTGTGGAGTTAATAAAAGTATTAGTCAGAGGGCTGAAGAAGGGTTGTTGAGGTGGTTTGGTCATTTAGAGAGAATGGATCAAAGTAGAATGACATGGAGAGCATTTAAATCTGTAGAAGGAAGGCGGGGTAGGGGTCATCCTCGAAAAGGTTGGAAGGAAGGGGTAAGGGAGGTTTTGTGGGCAAGGGGGCTTGGACTTCCAGCAGGCATGCATGAGCGTGTTCGAAAGGAGTGAATGGAGACGAATGGTACTTGGGACCTGACGATCTGTTGGAGTGTGAGCAGGGTAATATTTAGTGAAGGGATTCAGGGAAACCGGTTATTTTTATATAGCCGGACTTGAGTCCTGGAAATGGGAAGTACAATGCCTGCACTTTAAAGGAGGGGTTCAGGATATTAGCAGTTTGGAGGGATATGTTGTGTATCTTTATATGTATTTGCTTCTAAACTGTTGTGTTCTGAGCACCTCTGCAAAAACAGTGATTATGTGTGAGTGAGGTGAAAGTGTTGAATGATGATGAAAGTATTTTCCTTTTGGGGATTTTCTTTCTTTTTGGATCACCCTGCCTCGGTAGGAGACGGCTGACTTGTTAAAAAAAAAAAAAATATTTTAAGGGAGACTGTTTATAATTTTCACCTTTAGTCTTGACTGGATTTGTAGGTGTTATGGAATTTCTCTGATTCTGCTTCACTTATACATGTATATTGAAATGACTAGAAAAAAGCACTATAAATATCATTTTGTGTTCAAATCTGAAAATAGTGGACAGAATGAGATAAAAATTAATGTAGTTTTTAAATTAAACAAGAAAAATGTTAAGCAGTTTCCTCTTAAGAACAGAAGTTTTATGATTTATGATGTAAAAATTTATACAATACTTTATTTGCAGGCAGTATTTATCAAAAATGGTCCAGCGATATGATTCATCTTTTGCTCTCAGAAATTCAAAATCTTTGGCCAAAATTTCAAGATGGGAAATATACAATGAAAATGCTATATGAAGATGCAAGTACAAAACTTCGTGAACATGGATATGCAGTAAGCGCCTACAGAATTGAGAAGAAATGGCACAATTTGACATCAACATACAGAAATGTACTGAACAAAATACAGATGTATGGAGAAGAGGCCATAACAAGAAGATGTGATTATTTTGAGGTAATTAATATTATTTTATTGGTAGTGTCATTATTATAATCCTGGGAATGGAATGCAATAAGCTTCTGATCTGATAAGAGAAATGAAGCACCAGTTCCTTCAACATCACCAGCATCAAGGCATCTCATATGAAAGCATTTTGGGGTTAATTATTACAATCAGAACTAAGCGCTAAACCCGTGAGGGTCATAGAGTCTGTTAACGAAAAAATTAGTCGACTGAGCAGTACAAAAATATTCCAAGTGCACAGCTAGTGGATCTTTGAGATTATTATCTGTATTTCTTTTCTTACATTCATACCTAATATACTTATAGTACAGTGGAACCTCAGTTTTGGTATGCCCTGGTTTTCGTAGTATTTGGTTTTCAATGACTTTTTTTGTCTAAATTTTGTCCCAGTTTTTGTACATTTATAGCATTAATAGTTGACAATGGTCCGTACCAAACGCGTCAGCCTGCCCGCACCCACACAAAGCATCCCACTCATTCTGACTCACTCTGGCGTTGTTTCTCGTTGAGTGAACATTACCCCTCGTGTTCAGATAACATTTCGTAATAATCCATTGTTTTTTGTGCTTGTTTATTGAGTGTGACTGCTAAATAAGCCACCATGGGGCCAAAGAAAGTTCAGAGTGCCAGCCCTTTGATAAAGAAGGCGAGAAACATGATAGAATTCAAGAAAGCTCGTAGCAAAGTACGAAAGTGGCATACGCATGGCCGATCTTGCCAGGATGTATGGGAAGTTCACATCAACGATCAGTTCCATTCTGGTGAAAAAAAATCAAGAAAGTTGATGTTGCAAAAGGGGTAAATGTGCTAACGAAACAGAGACTGCAAATAAACGAAGATGTTGAGAAGTTGTTGTTGGTGGTGTGGATCAATGAAAAACAGTTAGCAGGAGATAGTGTTTTGGTGGAAGAGCTGGTGGACGACCACTGGGAAGAGCTAACCGCTGAAGAGCTGCAAGACCTTCAACTGGAACAACAACAGACTGCAGCTGAGGAAATTGCTTCAGAGGAGGAGGAAGAAAGAGGGGAGTGTGCGCCTTCTTCATGTGTGCAAGGTGGAATGAGTTCCAAAGGTTTGTGGAGAAATATCACCCTGACACAGCTGTTGCAAGTCGTGTCTGCAACATGTTCAGTGACAATGCCTTGTCCCATTTTAGGCAAATCTTAGAGATGCCAGAAACAGACCTCTCTGGACAGATTTTTTATGCAACAGGGGTGCAGTGACTCTTAATTTGCTTAATTCCAGTTACACATTATTGTACAGCCAAGATCAGAATTGCTGTTAAACCATTATTATTATTAATATATTCCTGGAGTGCTTAATCCATAAGGGTTATACAAAACTTGGGGAAATGGGAGGCAATTATATTTGAGGAAGTGAAGGTTAAGTTCAGTTATTTATATCAAGAGTCCCTCACCAACATCAAGGAACCCCCCTTAGTGAGGCATTAAACTATTTATAAATTAAACTATTTATAAATCACTGATTTACACTATATCTATTAAAATATATTTTAATTTCATGGGCAGACGATGCAACATCCCCCCAATGAAAAGCAGGGGTGTCACTAGCACGTTAAGAGACCATACAATAAGTGTCAGGGGCCCGAGATTGTTCAACTGCCTCCCAGCATACATAAGGGGGATTACCAACAGACCCCTGGCAGTCTTCAAGCTGGCACTGGACAAGCACCTAAAGTCGGTTCCTGACCAGCCGGGCTGTGGCTCGTACGTTGGTTTGCGTGCAGTCAGCAGCAACAGCCTGGTTGATCAGGCTCTGATCCACCAGGAGGCCTGGTCACAGAACAGGCCGCGGGGGCGTTGACCCCCGGAACTCTCTCCAGGTAAACTCCAGGTATCACATTCAAAGGATGCTGTTTCTCATTTATATATTTTTTTTTTTTAATTTTTCTTTCCTTTCCTCCCAACTTGTGCATACTGAGACATTCCTCCTCTTTTTTTTTTCTTACATACTTTTGTTTCTCATGACAAGGAAAAGGTAACTTCCATAACTTTTATGCAGTGGGGAAAACAATTGTTGAATTTTTGAACAAAGTTATAAAGTGCACCTCCACAGCTCTTGGTACTGATCAGTACTTGATCATCTAGGCTGTGATTCATATGTCAGTTTGTGTGCAGCCAGCATTAACAGCCTGGTTAATGCTGGCTGCATTAACCAGGCATTAATGTACTGAATATACTGTGCCCAAATGTATTAAATGATCTATTTTTTTCATTGTCAAAACCACTAAATTAGTGCTACCAATTATCTGGAAATAAGATAACTTCATTTTATGATAACATTTTATGAGATTACTCCATTTTTCAGGTAATGCATGAAATAATGAGTAACATAAATGCTCTGAGACGCAAATCTTCAACATCGCCTTTACAGGAAGTGTTGCCAGGAACTTCTCAGACACAGCCTTCAAGCCCCATAGCCATTAATTTGACTCCTGCCTCGCCAACATCCTCACCAGAATCAAGCCAGAAAAGAAAAAGAACAAATGAATATGATTCACCCAAAATAATTTTAATACCTGCGGTTCGACACCACGATCAATTACACCCACAACAACAGTGTATGCCACTTCAAAAACAAGTGAAAAAGCAAAAACAGCAAATAGACGAAGAGCAAAATGATACAGAGGAACAAGAGTCACGACGAGAGTGGCGAGAATGGAAGAGACAGCAGGAATTAATCAGTGTGCAGCGTGAGGGTAATAAGGTTCTTGAGAGTATAGATAATAACCTAGCTGCTATTCGTAAGTCTCTTGATTTTATTGTTCAGAAACTTTCCGATCAAGGTTGACTCTGGAACAGTTTTCTCAGCCAAAAATTGTCCCTCTTTTCTAATTTTGTTCTACATAATAAAAACATCAGTATATTACAAGTTTCATTTTATAAGGAAATTATATCCCATCTGGAAATTGACTGACTGACTAGTTGCCAAAGGTTATACATGACCAGTCAACTAATTTCTAAATGTGTTGCTGTATAGTCCTTGTGGCTTAGCGCTTCTTTTTGATTATAATAATAATAATAATTCTAAATGTGTTAATTGTTAAAAATCACAACTAAGTGCTAAGCTGAATGTGTTAGGTATATACATGAATGTTTCATTATATTCAAACACTAAACCTGCATGGGTTGTACAGCTTTTGTGAATAGCAGTGTGTGTAAGACTAATTTTTAAGTTTTATGAAGAATAATGGAAATACAATTTTTTTTTTTTTTAACAAGTCAGCCGTCTCCCACTGAGGCAGGGTTACCCAAAAAGAAAGAAAATCCCCAAAAAGAAAATACTTTCATCATTCAACACTTTCACCTCACTCACACATAATCACTGTTTTTGCAGAGGTGCTCAGAATACAACAGTTCAGAAGCATATACGTATAAAGATACACAACATATCCCTCCAAACTGCCAATATCCCAAACCCCTCCTTTAAAGTGCAGGCACTGTATTTCCCATTTCCAGGACTCAAGTCTGGCTATATAAAAATAACCAATTTCCCTGAATCCCTTCACTAAATATTACCCTGCTCACATTCCAACAGCTCGTCAGGTCCCAAATACCATTTGTCTCCATTCACGCCTATCTAACACGCTCATGCACGCTTGCTGAAAGTCCAAGCCCTTCCCACAAAACCTCTTTTACCCCCTCCCTCCAACCTTTTCGAGGATGACCCCTACCCCGCCTTCCTTACCCTACAGATTTATATGCTTTCCATGTCATTCTACTTTGATCCATTCTCTCTAAATGACCAAACCACCTCAACAACCCCTCTTCAGCCCTCTGACTAATACCTTTATTAACATAAGAACATAAGAATGGAGGAACACTGCAGAAGGCCTACTGGCCCATGTGAGGCAGGTCCTTATCAAAACGACTACTACCTAAAGCTTCCCAAGAAATAACTCCCGTACCCAATGACACCAATCAAACCCAGCCCCTCCCACTCGTATATTTGTCCAGTCTCTTCTTAAAGCTACCCAAGGTCCTAGCCTCTATCACCCCACTGGGAAGACTGTTCCACGCATCTACAACTCTGTTAGAAAACCAGTACTTACCTATGTCCTTTCTAAATCTAAATTTATCCAACTTAAATCCATTATTCCTGGTTCTTACCTGGTTCGACACCCTCAGTACTTTATTAATATCTCCCTTGTTTATGCCCGTCATCCACTTATATACTTCAATGATATCTCCCCTCATTCTACGCCTCTCCAGAGAGTAGGAGATTTAAGGCTTTAAGTCTATCTTCATACGGGAGGTTCCTTACACAGTAAATCATTTTAGTCATTCTTCTCTGTATGTTCTCTAATGAGTCTATATCCATCCTGTAGTAAGGGGACCAAAACTGAGCAGCATAATCTAAATGAGGCCTCACTAGTGATGTATAGAGCTGTAAAATAACTTTTGGATTTCTGTTACTTATACTTCTTGAGATAAATCCAAGTAATCTGTTGGCATAACTCCATTAACTCCACACCTTCTCCTAATTTCCACACTTCGAATTTTCTGCATAATATTTACACCACACATTGCCCTTAGACAGGACATCTCCGCTGCCTCAACCGCCTCCTCGCTGCAGCATTTACAACCCAAGCTTCACACCCATATAAGAGTGTTGGTACTACTATACTTTCATATATTCCCTTCTTTGCCTCCATAGATAACATTTTTTGTCTCCACATACACCTCAATGCACCACTCGCCTTTTTTCCTTCATCAATCCTATAGTTAACCTCATCCTTCATAAATCCATCCGCTGACACATCAGCTCCCAAATATCTGAAAACATTCACTTCTTCCATACTCCTCCTCCCCAATTTGATATCCAAGTTTTCTTTATCTAAATCATTTGATACCCTCATCATCTTACTCTTTTCTATGCTCACTTTCAACTTTCTACCTTTATACACACTCCCAAACTCATCCACTAACCTTTGCAATTTTTCTTTAGAATCTCCCATAAGCACAGTATCATCAGCAAAAAGTAACTGTGTCAATTCCCATTTGGTATTTGATTCCCCATAATTTAATCCCACCTCTCTCCCGAACACTCTAGCATTTACTTCTTTTACAACCCCATCTATAAATTTATTCAACATCCATGGTGACATTACATATCCCTGTCTAAGACCTACTTTTACTGGGAAGTAGTATCCCTCTCTTCTACACACCTTAACCTGAGCCTCACTATCCTCATAAAAACTCTTTACAGCATTTAGTAACTTACCGCCTATTCCATATCGTACTTGCAACATCTGCCACATTGCTCCCCTATACACTATCATATGCCTTTTCTAAATCCATAAATGCAATAAAAACTTCCCTACCTTTATCTAAATACTGTTCATATATATGCTTCAATGTAAATACTTGATCTACACATCCCCTACCCACTGTAAAACCTCCTTGCTCATCTGCAATCCTACATTCTGTCTTGCCTCTAATTCTTTCAATAATAACCCTACAATACACTTTTCCTGGTATACTCAGTAAACTTGTTGTTAGGTAAGACACATATGCAACAGTTAGGTATCTTTATTTCTTACCTAACAACCTGTCGGTATTTTATACCATTTTAATATCCACTCAGTAAACTTATTCCTCTGTAATTTTTACAATCTCTTGTTCCCCTCACCCTTATATAAAGGGACTATACCTGCTCTCCGCCAACCCCTAGGTACCTTCCCCTCTTTCATACAATTATTAAACAAAAATACCAACTGCAACAACACTATATCCCCCCTGCTTTTAACATTTCTGTCATGATCCCGTCAGTTCCAGCTGCTTTACCCCCTTTCATTCTACATAATGCCTCACATACCTCCCCCACACTAGCATCCTGCTCTTCTTCATTCCTAAAAGATGGTATACCTCCCTGGCCAGTGCATGAAATTACCGCCTCCCTTTCTTTGTCGACATTTAAAAGTTCCTCAAAATATTCTCGCCATCTACCCAATACCTCCATCTCCCCATCTACTAACTCCCTTACCCTGTTTTTAACTGACAGATCCATTCGTTCCCTAGGCTTTCTTAACTTGTTTAACTTACTCCAAAATTTTTTCTTATTTTCATTAAAATTTCTTGACATTGCCTGTCCCACTATCATTTGCTCTCCTTTTGCACTCTCTCACCACTCTCTTCACCTTTCTTTTACTCTCCATATACTCTACTCTTCTTATAACACTTCTGCCTTGTAAAATCCTCTCATAAGCTACCTTTTTCTCTTTTATCACACCCTTTACTTCATCATTCTACTAATCACTTCTCTTTCCTCCTGCACCCACCATCCTATAACCACAAACTTCTGCCCCACATTCTAATACTGCATTTTTAAAACTATTCCAACCCTCTTCAACCCCTCCACTATTCATACTTGCACCAGCCCACCTTTCTGCCAATAGTTGCTTATATCTCACCCGAACCTCCTCCTCCCTTAGTTTATACACTTTCACCTCCCTCTTACTTGTTACCATTTTCCTCTTGTCCCATCTACCTCTTACTCTAACTGTAGCTACAACTAAATAATAATCCGATATATCAGTTGCCCCTTTATAAACGTGTAAGTCCTGGAGCTTACCCATCAACCTTTTATCCACCAATACATAATCTTACAAACTACTTTCATTACGTGCTATATCATACCTTGTATATTTATCCTCTTTTTCATAAAATATGTATTACTTATTACCAAACCTCTTTCTACAGAGCTCAATTAAAGGCTCCCCATTTTCATTTACCCCTGGCACCCCAAATTTACCTACTACTCCCTCCACAACATTTTTACCCACTTTAGCATTGAAATCCCCAACCACAAGTACTCTCACACTTGGTTCAACACTCCCCATGCATTCACTCAACATTTCCCAAAATCTCTCTCTCTCCTCTACATTTCTCTCTTCTCCAGGTGCATATACGCTTACTATAACCCACTTTTCACATCCAACCTTTATTTTGCTCCACATAATCCTTGAATTAATACATTTATAGTTCCTCTTTTCCTGCCATGGCTTATCCTTCAACATTATTGTTACTCCTTCTTTACCCCTAACTCTATTTGAAACCCCTGACCTAATCCCATTTATTCCTCTCCACTGAAACTCTCCCACCCCCTTCAGCTTTGTTTCACTTAAAGCCAGGACATCCAGCTTCCTCTCATTCATAACATCCACAATCATCTCATTCGCACAACATCCACGCACATTCAGACATCCCACTTTGACAATTTTCTTCTTATTCTTTTTAGTAATTATTACAGGAAAAAGGGTTACTAGCCCATTGTTCCCGGCATTTTAGTTGACTTTTACAACACGCATGGCTTAGGGAGGAAAGATTCTTATTCCACTTCCCCATGGATATAAAAGGAAAAGTAATAGGAACAAGAACTATTAACCCTTTCAGGGTCCAGAGGCCAAATTTCAAAGTGCGCACCAAGGTCCAAGAATTTTCAAAAAATAATTTCGTTATTTTTTCTTATGAAACGGTTGAGAATCTTTTTCAGAAGGTAATAAAACAAAAAAGTACGAAATTTGATGGAAAACTGATGAAATTATGCTCTTGCGAATTTTGATGTGTCAGTGATATTTACGCATCGGTGACTTTGCCGAATTTGACTCTCATTTTAGGCTAATTACATTATTACAGTCTACCAAATTCTTAGCTATTTCACTAGTATTACTTCTATTAATTGAGCACAAGAAATCGCCAAGTCAACTGTTTCAACTACAAAATAAAGTGATTGGAAATTGGTAATTTGGCCAATTTAATGCAAAGTTCAAAATATTCTAATTTCAAAATAGAGTTCAGAATAAACAATGCAGGTATTCCTGGTACTAAACTAACATTTCCTCTGTTCATTAGTTACATTTTCAGGCTTTACAAATGAATTCTATTTTGATTTTTTATTCAGATAATGAATTTTTATTCAAACCAAAATATAGAAGATTTGCTGTTATGCAATATTGTAATAATTGTATAAATAATATCACCACATTTGTGAACATACATTAGACCCACCAGCTGGCATGTATTAGATGTGTGAGGTCATTTGTTTACTCTTGAACATCAGTTTCAAGCGATTTCCATTACTAAAACCAATCAAAATCTTCTTGATTTCTGTAATATATCTTCCATTCTATCAAATGAGACCAAGAAATCGCAAATGCAACTATAAAGAACATACGAAAAAACACTGCAAAATCGCCGTTTTAATCGAAAATTAGTCAGTTTTTTCTCTCAATATGCACTGTGTGTTGCAGGATTTGTTTTATGTGGTGCACACATACCACATAGATGTATTCTCTCAAATTTACCGCTCACAGCTTATCAGAGTGAGCTGAACTCATAGCGTAGATCTACGGTTCGGACCCTCAACGTATAGCCGTAGGCATGGACCCTAAAAGGGTTAAGATAAAATTAAAGAAAACTCAGATGAGTGTGTATAAATAAACGTGTACATGTATGTGTAGTGTGACCTAAGTGTAACTAGAAGTAGCAAGACGTACCTGTAATCTTGCATATTTATGAGACAGACAAAAGACACCAGCAATCCTACCATCATGTAAAACAATTACAGGCTTTCGTTTTACACTCACTTGGCAGGACGGGAGTACCTCCCTGGGTGGTTGCTGTCTACCAACCTACTACCTACAAATATTAGTGGAAATAAATTGTGTGCATGTGTAATCGTGTGCAGAGGAAGAAAGCATTTACGTACACACTGCATCATAGTATGTGTGGAGGAGAGTAGTACGTGTTGGGCAGTGGGCAGCATATGTGGGAGGGATAGGATTTAATTTAAATCTTAATTAACATGAAGCATTAACCCTTTCAGGGTCGAGAGGCCGTCTCCAAAACTCGTTCTCAGGGTCGAAAATTTTTCGGGAAAAAAAATTACATTTTCTTATGAAAAGATAGAGAATCTTTTTCCGATCATAATGACATCAAAAGTTTGAAATTTGATGGAAAACTTACGGAATTATGCTCTCGCGAAGTTAGCAATCTCGACGATGTTTACGCATCGGCAATTTCGCCCACTTTGAGCCCTATTTTCTGCCAATTCCAGTGTACTAGTCGACAAAAATCATAACTATTTCGCTAGAACTACAATTTTTCTATCGAATGAGTACAAGAAACCACCCATTTACCGATTTCAACTATCCAATAAAGCTGTCAGAAATTAGCAATTTTGCCAATTTCACACAAATTTCAAAAGATGCCAATTTCTAAATAGGGTCCAGAATAGACAAGACAGACATTCCTGGCACTAAAATAACATTTCCTCTATTCATTAGTCACATCCCCAGGCCCCTCTTACATTTCTTTTGCTTTCAATTTGAATTTTTATTCTCACAAAAAATAGAAGATTTACTGTTATGCAGACTACTGCATTAGTGTAGATATGGTATAAATAATATCAGCACACTTGTGAAAGACTATCAGACTCGCCAGCTGATGTGTATTGAACGGGTGGCATGATTTGTTTACTTTTGAACTTTGGCAAAAATCGAACATTTCTGCTACTTTGAGCTCAATTTCAAGGTACTTTTCATTGTGAAACCAATCAAAAGCATCTCAATTTCTGTAATATATCATCCATTCTATAAAATGAGACCAGGAAAACTAGAATACAACCATAAATACCATACGAAAATACAGTGCAAAGTCAGTTTTAAACAAAAAACACGGTCAAAGTTTTTTTTTTCTTATTACGCACCGTGTGCTGCAGGATTTTTTTATACTGTGCACACTGACCCATTCTTTCATATGTAGGCATACCAGCTTTCTCTCACTAAATTTGAAGGCGCTAGAATTTAGGCGTACTAATACGTCAATAACCTTGGTGTGTAAGCCGTACTAGTACATCGGAAACCCTGAAAGGGTTAAATAAAACATGGAATTGGCCTTTGAGAAAAATTAACTTGAATCACTGAATGCCACACAATTCAAAATGTATTTGTAGCGAAAGAAGCTTATTCAGTCACATGTATTAAATTCAGTTTAGTAGTAAATTAAAGTGACTATAAATGTTAATAGCTGTACTGATACAATTATATAATTTATTTATTGTTTATGAAAGATTTTCAACAATACACAATTTAAATAGGTTTTTGCATCTTGAATGTTTTGATACTTTGGCATACTGTTATACTAAATGCATTTTCATCACTGTCAGGTATGGTGCCAGAGTTTCTATACTAGGGGACTTAAGGGTGGGTATCTGGTTGGAAGGGGGAAGCTAGGAAACTTGTATTGAAGGAACATTACTAGTAGCAGTAGTATATTTATTTAGGTGGGCTTTGAGGGACCGAGGGAATTTTCTCAGGAGCCTTAAGACACCCCCCCACCTCCCAAGCTTCCACCACTGTGTAGTTCCCAATCTCTTCACCCATCCTGCCCCTTATCAGCTTCTGCATCAGGAACCAGACAAGGCAAGGAGTCTCCGCCAGATGCACTCTCTTTCAGCATTTGTAGCTTTCCTTTAACTACTTCCTCTTCCAGTGCCAATATTTTCATCCTGGCATTATGCTCCTTGGCTTGTAGCTCACTGTCACGCTTCAGTATGTTCATCCTGTGGCGGTGTTCCTCCTGGGCCAATAACAGGATTTTAGCATGCAAGTCTGGACAACAACACAGGGGTTTCACTTGGGGTCTTGCTTCTCCATATCTTCCCTCGGGTAATCTCTTTCTCCCAACTAATTTTGCCTTCTTTACTATTGGAAATACGTCATTGGATGTATGGTTATCAGATGCCAATGATGAAGATGATGCATTTATTGGACCGACTGTGTGAGGAGAGTTGTGCGAATGGCTGACTGTAGGTTGGCCGGGTGCAGTGCCTGATTCAGGAGCGAATACTGTTTGGTCCTGGAAATGATTTGTCTTAGGTGGAGAACACTTGAATAACATGGGTTGTGCAGTCATAGAACTAGTCTCGCTTAAAGTCTCTGAATTAAGTGTTACTTCAGATGTTTGCCTTGTCTGGGTTGTGTTGCTTGGAAGACTTGAGTGATCATTGTTGGCAGAGTCTGTGAACTGGTCTGAATCTGAAGTTACCTCATCAGAAACCTTTTCAGGAGTGTCTAATTCATCTTGGGGCTCATTCTTAATATCTATTTCTACTGTCAGCCCTTCTTTCATTGACATTTGCATCATCTGAAAAAAATACAATTAAATCACCTAAGCAGTCATAGCAACTTTAGAAAATACGGAGTACAGCACTAAAATAAAGTCCTGAATAACAATACATAAGTGGATATTTCTTTTAATTTAAAAATACTGCAGCACTTTTTTAGAACCCCTATAGTGTCAAAGGAACTATATTCTAATGTACCTTGAGTACACTTGTTGGTGATATGAAAAGAAACACTAATGATGCACAGATCTATGTTTATCCTCAGCATTACACTCCCTGAAGATTTTTTTTTAGTTTTCACACACTAGCCATCTTCCACTGAGGACAAACCATCATTCATTCAATTGCTGTCTTGCCAGATATACAAACATCACACCTGAAATGACCCCCCCCCCAAACTGAAACATCTCCACCCCTCACTGAAAGTGCAAGCACTATACAGTGGTCCCTCGCTTTTCGTAGTTCCTGGCAATCGTAAATTTCGCCAATCATAGGGGTATTTTTGTATAAACATGGACTCGCTTTTCATAAGTTGACTCGCGAGTCATAATTCGTCCGGGACGCATACACACGGCGTGAGCCGTGGTGGCAGCCAGTCTGGCATTGTTTACCAGTGAGCGAAGGTCCCCTCACGTGCTCCAGTGAAATATTTCATGATATTCCATTTATTTTAGTGCTTGCAGTTAGGAGGCAGTTAGGGTAAGATATAAACAGCTATTGGAGGATAGATGGGCTAATGAGAGCATAGGCAATGGGGTCGAAGAGGTATGGGGTAGGTTTAAAAATGTAGTGTTAGAGTGTTCAGCAGAAGTTTGTGGTTACAGGAAAGTGGGTGCAGGAGGGAAGAGGAGCGATTGGTGGAATGATGATGTAAAGAGAGTAGTAAGGGAGAAAAAGTTAGCATATGAGAAGTTTTTACAAAGTAGAAGTGATGCAAGGAGGGAAGAGTATATGGAGAAAAAGAGAGAGGTTAAGAGAGTGGTGAAGCAATGTAAAAAGAGAGCAAATGAGAGAGTGGGTGAGATGTTATCAACAAATTTTGTTGAAAATAAGAAAAAGTTTTGGAGTGAGATTAACAAGTTAAGAAAGCCTAGAGAACAAATGGATTTGTCAGTTAAAAATAGGAGAGGAGAGTTATTAAATGGAGAGTTAGAGGTATTGGGAAGATGGAGGGAATATTTTGAGGAATTGTTAAATGTTGATGAAGATAGGGAAGCTGTGATTTCGTGTATAGGGCAAGGAGGAATAACATCTTGTAGGAGTGAGGAAGAGCCAGTTGTGAGTGTGGGGGAAGTTCGTGAGGCAGTAGGTAAAATGAAAGGGGGTAAGGCAGCCGGGATTGATGGGATAAAGATAGAAATGTTAAAAGCAGGTGGGGATATAGTTTTGGAGTGGTTGGTGCAATTATTTAATAAATGTATGGAAGAGGGTAAGGTACCTAGTGATTGGCAGAGAGCATGCATAGTTCCTTTGTATAAAGGCAAAGGGGATAAAAGAGAGTGCAAAAATTATAGGGGGATAAGTCTGTTGAGTGTACCTGGTAAAGTGTATGGTAGAGTTATAATTGAAAGAATTAAGAGTAAGACGGAGAATAGGATAGCAGATGAACAAGGAGGCTTTAGGAAAGGTAGGGGGTGTGTGGACCAGGTGTTTACAGTGAAACATATAAGTGAACAGTATTTAGATAAGGCTAAAGAGGTCTTTGTGGCATTTATGGATTTGGAAAAGGCGTATGACAGGGTGGATAGGGGGGCAATGTGGCAGATGTTGCAAGTGTATGGTGTAGGAGGTAGGTTACTGAAAGCAGTGAAGAGTTTTTACGAGGATAGTGAGGCTCAAGTTAGAGTATGTAGGAAAGAGGGAAATTATTTCCCAGAAAAAGTAGGCCTTAGAAAAGGATGTGTGATGTCACCGGGGTTTTGTTTAATATATTTATGAGGGGGTTGTAAGAAATAAATGCGAGGGTTTTGGAAAGAGGCGGGGGTTTAAAAGATAAAGAACACACACAAAGGGGGAGTGTCACAGCTGCTTTTTGCTGATGACACTGGCTTTGGGAGATTTAAAGAGAACGCGAGTTGGGGGGGGGGGGAAGGGGTGGGGTGTGCAAAAGAAAAAATTTAAAAGGGTGAATAAGGAAAGAGTAAGGTTTGAGGATAACAAAAAGATTAGGTATGAAGATGAATAAGATGGAGGGGGGAGAGTTGGAGGAGGTGAACGATTAGATATTTGGGATTGGACGTGTCGCGGATGGGCCCCTATGAAAGAGAGTGAAATAGAAATGATAGGGAAAAAGGAGTGAGTGGTGCACTTAGGAGTCTGTGGAGACAAAGAACTTTGTCCTTAGAGGCAAAGAGGGGAATGTATGAGAGTATAGTTTTCCCAACGCTCTTATATGGGTGTGAAGCGTGGGTGTTTGAATGTTGCAGCGAGGAGAAGGCTGGAGGCAGTGGAGATGTCATGTCTGAGGGCAATGTGTGGTGTGATATAATGCAGAGAATTCGTAGTTTGAAGTTAGGAGGAGGTGCGGGATTACCAAAACTGTTGTCCAGACGGCTGAGGAAGGGTTGTTGAGGTGGTTCGGACATGTAGAGAGAATGGAGCGAACAGAATGACTTCAAGAGTGTATCAGTCTGTAGTGGAAGGAAGGCGGGGTGGGGGTCGGCCTAGGAAGGGTTGGCGGGAGGGGGTAAAGGGGGTTTTGTGTGCGAGGGGCTTGGACTTCCAGCAGGCATGCGTGAGCGTGTTTGATAGGAGTGAATGGAGACAAATGGTTTTTAATACTTGACGTGCTGTTGGAGTGTGAGCAAAAGTAACATTTATGAAGGGATTCAGGGAAACCGGCAGGCCGGACTTGAGTCCTGGAGATGGGAAGTACAGTGCCTGCACTCTGAAGGAGGGGGGTGTTAATGTTGCAGTTTAAAAACTGTAGTGTAAAGCACCCTTCTGGCAAGACAGTGATGGAGTGAATGATGGTGAAAGTTTTTCTTTTTCGGGCCACCCTGCCTTGGTGGGAATCGGCCAGTGTGATAATAAAAAAAAAAAAAAATAAGTACTAAATAAGCTACCATGGCTCCAAAGAAAGCTCTTAGTGCCCAAACCTGTGGTAAAGAAGGTTTAGAAAAAAGATTGAATTTAAGAAAACCATCATTGAACAATATGAAAGTGGTACAAGTGTGGCCGAACTGGCTAGGATGTATAAGAAACCCTACACAACCTTATGTTCCATAGTGGCCAAGAAAAACGAAATCAAGGACGCTGTTGTTGCAAAGGGGGTAACTATGCTGACAAAAATGAGATCACCAGTACTCGAAGAGGTTGAGAAGTTATTACTGGTGTGGATAAATGAGAAACAATTAGCAGGAGATACTCTTATGACTTCGATTATTTGTGAAAAGGCTAGGCAGTTGCATGACGATTTGGTAAAGAAATTGCCTGAAAATAGTGGTGATGTGAGTGAATTTAAGGCCAGCAAAGGCTGGTTTGAGAGATTTAAGAACCATAGTGGCATACACAGTGTGGTAAGGCATGGTGAGGCTGCCAGTTCGGACCACAAGGCGGCTGAAAAATATGTGCATGAATTCCAGGAGTACATAGAGGCTGAAGGACTGAAACCTGAACAAGTGTTCAATTGTGACGAAACAGGCCTCTTTTGGAAGAAAATGCCAAAGAGGACCTTCATTACACAAGAGGAAAAGGCAATGCCAGGACACAAGCCTATGAAAGACAGGCTGACGCTAATGTTCTGTGCTAATGCTAGTGGGGATTTCAAAGTGAAGCCATTACTAGTGTACCATTCTGAAAATCCCATTGTGTTCAGGAAAAACAATGTTATGAAGAGTAAATTGTGTGTGTTTTGGAAATCTAATAGTAAGGCACGAGTCACGAGGGAAATTTTTGTCGAGTGGTTCAATGAAGTGTTTGGCCCTAGTGTGAAGGAGTATCTCCTGGAAAAGAAATTGGATCTCAAGTGCCTGCTAGTAATGGACAATGCACCTGCTCATCCTCCAAACTTGGATGACCTAATTTTTGAGGAGTTTGGGTTCATCACAGTAAAGTTCTTGCCCCCGAATACCACTCCTCTCCTCCAGCCCATGGATCAGCAGGTCATTGCAAACTTCAAAAAAAACTACACAAAAGCAATGTTTCACAGGTGCTTGACTGTGACCACAGACACTCACTTGGCCCTAAGGGAATTTTGGAGAGAACACTTCAGCATCCTCCATTGCATAACCCTTATAGGTATGGCTTGGGAGGGAGTGTCTACCAGGACTTTGAACTCTGCCTGGAGAAAATTGTGGCCATATTGTGTCGACAAGAGGGATTTTGAAGGGTTTGGGACTGACCATGATGAGCCTGTCTGTTGTAAAATCAATTGTGGCACTGGGGAGTTCCATGGGGTTGGATGTGAGCTTGGAGGATGTGGAAGAATTGGTGGAAGACCACAACGAAGAGCTCACCACTGAGGAGCTGCAAGAGCTTCAGCAGGAAGAGCAACACATCGCAGCTCAGAATCTTGCTGCAGAGGAGGAGGAAGAGAGATGGAAGAAGGTGCCTTCTTCAGAAATTAAAGATTTTTTTACTATGTGGGAGAAACATCACCCTAAAAAGGTTGTTGCAAGCCATGTTGTATTTACATTATTTCTTATGGGGAAAATTGATTCGCAAATCGTAAATTTCGTTTATAGTAGCTCCTCCAGGAATGGATTAATTACGAAAAACGAGGGACCACTGTACCTCCCACTCCAGGACTGGAGTTCAGCTAACTGGTTTACTTGAATCCATTCACAGATGTTACCCTGCTTATGCTCCAACAGCACATCAAGCCATAAAACCACTTGCCTCCACTCTGATATAACATGCTCACACAAGCCTGCTGGAGGCTCAAGCCTTCAGAACTCGAAACCACCTTTACCCCCTCCCCACAACTAATCCTGCGATGATTTCCCCTACTCTCCCTGCTTCCACTCCAGTTTCATACACCCTTTTGGTCATCCTATTCTTCTCTATCCTCTAAATGCTTAAACCACCTCAGCAACCCCCTCCTCACCCATTTGAATTATATCTTTCGGAATTTCACACCATCTCTTAACTTCTGTGAATGGCAATCACACCACACTTTGCTCTCAAGCATGACATTTCCACTGCCTCCAGTCTCCTTGCTGCAGCATTTAAAGCTGAAGATTATATATTCAATAAAATAATTCAAACAATTACCCCCATCGCAGTATATTAATAACAGCTACAATACAGGGATTATCCACCAGATGACTAAGCAAACAAGTAGAATCTAAAGCAAGATGCTGATAACTGAGAAACTACTTATGGCACTGCTTGACTCGCTGAATTGTATAAGCTTGTATGTGCTTAAACTCTTCAAGGGAGGATGGGGGGAAGGGGCAGAGCTGCCTTGGTGCTCTTAAGGATCTTGTTCCAAGGAGTTGGAACTATCATCTCTGGATCAAACCTAATTAATTCCTATTCTGCAGGCTCTGCATGACCACTGTGAATTTAGTGTTTCCCTATGATTTTCATGTGCTTAAACTCATCCTATGGGCAACAGTAAAAAACTGCAAGTTTCAGTTGCTGCATGATCTGTGAAAGATATCAAATGTATCACATAACCTCCATAACTGCCATCAAGGAAATTGAAAAAAAAAATACTTCTTCTCTTATGCCAAATCTAAAGGCAAAACATCTAGTATTGGGCTCCTGCTTAGGCGAGATAAGACATACACAGATGACAGCAAAGAAATGAGTGAGATACTGAAGTCCCAATACTACTCGGTGTTCAGTGAGCCGTTACCCAGACTAAGGGTCGACAATCTAAAGGAATTCTTTATGAACGAGACCCAAAATTTGATCTCAAAAAAATCTCTATATTATCCAAACACCACAAGACTTTAAAAAGGCAATAAATGACATGCCCATGTACTCTGCCCCAGGCTCAGACTCGTGGAACTCACTGTTCATCAAGAACTGCAAGAAGCCCCTGTCGTGTGCCTTCAGCATTCTATGGAGAGGGAGCATGGACACAGGTCATCCCACACACACTAAAAACAACACAGTCCCACTCTACAAAGGTGTCAGTAAAGCAATTGCAAAGAACGACAGATCGATAGCACTAACATCCCATATAAAAATCTTTGAAAGGGTTCTAAAAGCAAGATCGCCAACCATCTAGATACCCATCAATTACACAACCCAGGTCAATGTGGGTTTAGAGTAGGTCACTCCTGCCTGTCCCAGCTACTGGGCCACTATGACAAGGTCCTGGATGCTAGATGATAAACAAAATGCAGATGTATACACAGACTTTGCAAAAGCCTTCGACAAGTGCGACCATGGTGTAACAGCGCACAAGATGAGTCATAGAGGAATAACAGGAAAAAATGGTAGATAGATCTATAACTTCATAACAAACAGAGCACAAATAGTAATAGTAAACAGTAAAGTCTGAGGCAGCTACGTGAAAAGCTCTGTTTTGCAAGGCACAGTATTCGCTCCCATCCTGTTCCTCATCCTCATATCTGACAGAGATGTAAGCCATAGCCCCATGTCTTCCTTTGCAAATGACATCTGAATTGCCATGACAGTGTCCTCCATTGAAGACACCACAAGACTCCAAGTGGATATTAACTAAATCTTCAAATGGGCAACTCAAAACAATATGAAGTTCAATGAAGAGAAATTTCAACTACTCAGATATAGAAACCTTGAGGAAATTAAAACTATCAGGGTATACAAAAAATTATAATCATACAAATGTGTGAAAAAGTAATGTGAAGGGCCTGGGAGTGATAATGTCAGAGGATCTCACCTTTAAAGACCACAACAATGTATCTACTGCTTTTGCTAGAAAAATGATAGGATGGAGAATGAGAACCTTCAAAACTAGGGACGCCAAGCCCATGATGATTCTCTTCAAATCTAGGCTGGAATACTGCTGTACACTAACTGCCCCTTTCAAAGCAGGCAAAATTGCTGACCTGGAGAGTGTACAAAGAACTTTCACGGCACACAAGTATGATAAGGCATCTAAATCACTGGGAACAGTTGAAGTCCCTTGATTTGTATTCCCAGGAATGCAGGCAAGAGAGATACATGATAATATACACTTGGAAAATCCTAGAGGGATTAGTACCAAACTTGCACACGAAAATCACTCTCTATGAAAGCAAAAGACTTGGCAGGAGATGCAACATTCCCCCAATGAATACACAGAGAACACAGTAAGTATCAGGAGCCCAAGACTGTTTAACTGCCTCCCAGCATACATAAGGGAAATTACCAATGGAACCCTGGCTGTCTTCAAGAGGGCACTGGACAGGGACTTAAAGTCAGTACCTGACCAGCTGGGCTGTAGTCCGTACGTCAGTTCGCGTGTGGCCAGCAGTAACATCCTGGTTGATCAGACCCATGATCCACCACTAGGCCTGGTCTCAGGCCGGGCTGCGGGGGCGTTGACCCCCTGAAACCCTCTCCAGGTATACCCCTTATATGAGGTCTGTTGTTGTACATCAAAACCTTCGAGAGGAAGAGGGCCTGCAGCTCAACTCCCTTGAGTGACGTGGGAACTAAAACTCTCCTCCAAAGAGCTCAATGAAGGAGCTATAACTCAACACCTTTAAGAGGCACAGAAACCGTATTATTATTATTATAATCAAGGGGGAAGCACTAAACCCGTAGGATTATACAGCGCCTATGGGGGGATGGAAGGCATTCAGGCTTAATTCAGGGAACTGGAGCACAGATCCAACTGGAGAACAGATCCAATTCCCTAGATCAAGAGCCCCTCACCAGCGTCAAGGAGCCTTCCTTGAGGGGACAGAAACCGTAGATCAACACCCTAAAGAGGTCCAAGAGATGAAACCGCTCAGTCAAACATTTAAACTATGAGATCAATCACACACTGAAACTAGGTTGGATTTGTCTGAGGAGTTTTCACTAGTGAATAAAGTAGTAGCATGAAAACAATGAAGGTATCAGGGGAGGAGTTACTCACTGATGTAACATGGAAGCCAACATATTGATCTATATGTAACACACCAGTAACACCCCCCCCCCACTCGTCATAGATCTAAACTTACTCCCTGTTCAGTACATCCACACTTACTACTGTGCAATCTACATCTACAGGACCTTAAATTCCAATATTAACCTTGACCTAAAACGCTTTCTTGATAGTTGTGACAGAACCCACAGGCATAACACCAGACACAAACATCTCTACGACATTCCCCGTGTCCGACTAAACCTTTACAAAAATTCAATGTATGTCAAAGGCCCTAAAATCTGGAACACCCTACCTGAAAACTCTAGAACTGCAGACACATTCATCACCTTCAAAACTACCATTAGAAAACATCTTAACTCCCTGATACACCCCGTCAACTAACTACACGAATACCACCTGGTGGTTCACACTTAAACTCGCTCACCCATTTGACCATAAACAGAAATATTAATCTCAATCTTAAAATAATGAATCCTAACTAGTCATAAGTTGGCCTGTGATACTCCAATACTGAAACTATGTACTGTGCCAAAACAAAAGCATTCACATTGCTAAACTCACAAACTAGTATTTAGTCACTTAGCCATAATACCAACTTACCTCATAATTTGTAATATTTTAAAATTAAGAATTAAACCAAGTCTGCCCGAAATGCCTAGCCATGCTAGGTGTTCTAGTGGTACACTCTAATTATTTTACTACATGTAAACCACACAATAACCAAATTCTGTAAACTCAGCTTTGTAATCCTTATAGAGAATAAACTTTGAATCTGAATTGAATTGAATAGCAAAAAGTAAGAGCATAATGTTGTAGAGAGAATATGTAAATATTTTTACAGACTAGTTTTCAGAGTCTGTTGTAGATTTTAAATAAAAATTACAGTAATATCACCTAAATTGCTAAATATTAATAAGTATAAAAAATATGGTGTAGACCTGAGCTATAATTCCTAAGTGCTCCAAAGGGCAAGCATAACCCTATTTATTATAAAATTGGCAAACAGGATACAAGTGATTTATATGGATTGATGTGCTGTTGGAGTGTGAGCAAGTTAACATTTATGAAGGGATTCAGGGCAAATCGATTAACCGGACTAGTCCTGGTGGTGAGAATTATAGTGCTTACACAAACGGAGGGGTGATGATGATGTACTACGAAGGCCATCTGAACTGTAATCTCAGCACACTTGCAAAACAGCCATTGAATTAAACAGGGTTGGCATAGTGGCCTGCCAGTTTTAAGAATGATTTGCCATGGGTTTGAACCCCCATCTTCAGTATAAATTCATAGCTCACGCTTTACAGTGTTGTGTGTCTGCACCAAGACTTACCTGCTCAGGATAAACAAAACTAGGGTCAAGGTGGTGGGAAAACTTGAATGGATCATCTTCCAAGGAAGTAGTTACATCCGTAGTCATCATTTTCTCCAGGTGGCGCCGCTGGTGCTGCATCTGTTGGTGCAGAAGACCCAGGAGCATTTCTGATATAGGGTCAGGATCTGGTGGCGGCACTCCTGACGACACTTCTGACAGCCTCACCTCGTACCTCCGTGCCTTCGCTTTCATGTTCTTGTATAATGTCTGGATTTGCTGCCGTGACCGTGGGGTGGATGCATTTGCGTTGAAATGGCGAGTTATTTCATTCCACAGTTCCGATTTTCGTATAATAGTTTGTGCGTCGTTCTCCCTGGTGTCCAGAACGCCCATGCAAGAAGCCAGGGCGCCCAGCAAGAGGGTACGTTCGGTGGAAGAAGCACTGGTACTTCTTCCACCACGAACTAGCATCATTCCGTCCATTTTTTGTGGCCCTCATGAAACACTGGAAAGAAACGTATAGACTTACAGAACTCTCATTAAATACATGGATCAAGTCACCATTATTGTGGAAAATTGCATTCACTTGGATGAATCTCATTACATACATACAAGTAAATGTTAACAAAGATAATTATTATTTATCAATGTTACATAGACAAGTAGGAATTTGGGACACCTAGGTCGCAAAAATGTCCCCCTTCGATACCTACCACTGTCATAACCACAAGTTGATCTGGACCTATTAATTAAATGAAATATACATACACCAGGAATGCTGGTAAATATGTAAATTTGTGGACTGTATATTAAAAATAATAAATGGTTATATATATACACAATTACATAACAGAAGGAAAATATATCTTAATATCACTCACCAACTTGACTGGAGATTAATGTGTATCATACTCAGAAAACCTCACTCTAACTAAATCTATGAAAATAATGCTGGCCAGAATTACACACAAATCTAGAGAGCTTATCTGAGGTTCCTGGAGCTGTCTTGTCCAGTCGTCTGATATCTCAAGTTATGCAGGAATACATATCCACCAATTTCGCCTCCTATTTGAGAGGTGTCAACACAATTTTAACCTCTAGAGCACGAAAAATTCTTCCCCATTCACCGTTTCTAATACAAAATTCAAAACCAAGATAGCGAGTCCCGTCTGCGCAGACGCAGGCTTTCCGTTTTCTATGACATAAATATTATTAAATACAGTATGGCCATCTATTTACATATAAATACTGAATTTCTGGAAAATATATACAGTATTTTCCACAATTATAATGCTCCATAAAATGTTAAGGTACGCTCCTATAAATCAACATTTGTAGATTATCTGGCCCTCTCTACACATGAGTAGTGATGGAGTGAATGATGGCGAATGTCTTTCTTGTTTTTCGGGTCACCCTACCTCGGTGGGTGACGGCTGGCGTGTTGAAAAAAAAATACATTCATGGGGGGAATAGGAGGTATGAGAATATTACAATAAAATTTAAGAGCTAAACCCACAAGGGTCATATAGCAGCTGTGAGAATAGCCGTTAAGGTAAATGAATGCAACCGATCCCCATAATAGTTTAGACAGGAGCATGTCTGCATGTCCTGCTTTAGGAAGTTACCTGCCTGCTAATTTTACCTTTTTTCCATACCGCACTCAAAGAGGTGATGGCATTTAGAATAAAAGCATAAGCACGCCAACAGCCATGATTAGGTGTTCGAATGACAAATCAGGTATGTGCTTTTTTTGTGTGTGTGACACTATCGTTACCAGCTCTGCCTGGTTACCACATGGAGAAGACCCGGGTCACGACCCGTCCTGACGAACCTACCTGTATCTGATACCAGCCTCAGCTCTTCCCTCTGATTTTAATAGTGATGGCAGGTGTTGAGCCTAACGCACGGCAGGTGTTCCTATCATGACTCAACTTTAAATCTGCCCCTCTTGGATAATACTCCACTTGTTGTTGCTGCCACCCCTGGTATGATCGCCAATACCATTTGTTGCTAGTATCACCAATCTACGAGCCACCACTGACAAGACCACGAACACCACT